GTATTTTTACAATCTTTATTTTACAGTTAAAATATATGTTTATCAAATAAAGTCTAATGTTACAATTAATCGGGAATCCCTTTAATATAAATTGTGCGTGATTTTAACTCTAAACATGCACACAGACCACAGATTAATAGTCCTGCATTCCTTGGAGGAATACATATTGCCTGCTGCTTTTCAAGCAGAAATTTAAACTCTGCATTTCATCATATTGTAATGAGAATAAACAAAGTTACAGCTCTTTTACTCTTTTAGTACGTGATGTGCAATTAAATTCAATATTATGAGATCTTGTGGTTTATCAGTCTGCACATGCGACCACACCAAAATTTACCTCAGTCTCTGCGAAATTGACTGACTTATAACCATTTTGTTTGCTATAGTTAAGTAGCTGTTGCAGCCATCTTGAAAGGATTTGACTCCAAAAGTTTGAGTTACAGATGWCTTTTCATGAAAATCCACCCAGTGATTCATAAGCTATTTTGCTAACACACAGATTGTGACTGTTAATGGCAATGTTTTATAAACAGATCAACCGATATTGCCCAACGTATATTGGGCATTACTCCACCAATACAAAGTTTAGCTGAGCATCTGTGAAACTGTGTCAGTTGTAGCCATTTTGGCATTTGCTAACAACTTTAGCTGTGGTGGCCATTTTGAAATGGGCTTATTCTAAAATGGTTTCGGTTGTCGATGCACGTTCATTGATTACCTTCTGGTAGTTTTGTTAAAATCTATTAAAGTAAGTCATGAAATATTTTGCCAATGACACAAACAGACGAACACAAGCGCAGCTCCTGAGAGAAACCTTATCTCCTTTTACCTTCACCTTCGGGCAAAAATAGTAATGAAGTTAACATAAAAAGAAACATTGCCAGACTGCTCTTGACTTAACCCTTATATTCAAGTAGAAAATTGATGTGTTGTTTCACAGTATGTACATTTAAATTCCCAGCCACTTTTCTCAAAACAGCTCTGAAATAAACAGAAACATATGCTGGCTACATATGCTCAGCACCGCTTTATTTAGATTGTTCTATAGCGACACAACAACAAGAGTGTTTTTGTGAAGAAAAGCCACATGGTTTAAATTGCAACTGTTATACAAAACAAGACTTGGGGAGAGGAAAAGTAAAGAYGAAAAGTGTTCCGAGCACAGATGCACCCGCTCTTTTGCTATCTCCTGTGCTTGTGGGTATAGTGCCGATCCAGCTATTCTTGTTGGTTTGTTAATTGTTTGTCACCCACCAGGTGCCATCTGTCTGTAGTCCCACAGTCCCRGAGCCATGTGGGCCGGCCTGCCTGGCGCCTGCCAACGTCACTGACCTGCAGCAACCGTCCACACCTCCGTCACACACCTCCTGATCCGTCTGGGATAAATAGCTTCTCCCTCAACTTCTGTGCCGCCATCGCGGCTTCTCAATCTGTCCTGTGTTGGGGGGGGGGGGTGACAGGAAGAGACAGGGAGGGCGGGTGAGAAACAAATATAAAGAAAGACTGGGTGGATGGATAGATAGAGTGAGAATGAACAGGAGCTAGAGATGGATGAGTAAGATGAAATGGTGAAACACTACTGGTGTGTTATTGGTCTGTTTGTATTTTTCGATTAGAGTTTTTTTAAGGGAAATAAGTCAGACTTTTGTCAGACATTGCATAAGCACGAAATTTTTGATTTTTAAAAATCTTGTCAAAAGTAAAAAATATTTGAAACCATGAAACAGCAAATGTTAGGACGTTGTGGTTTCTGCATAAGAAAGACTGCATTTCACTCCACCAAACAGGCAAGGGAGGTCACCTTTACCTGGGCCTGATGTTGGGGCAGCTGCATGTTGAAAAATGAGATCAGCTGCTTTCTCACCGGGATGCATGCAGCAGCCTGGAACTACCCAGGGCCCTATGCACCAAGCAGCATKTGGGGGCCTCGGCGCAATAAAGACAGGGCGAAGATACCCCACCCCCCCTCACCTTCACTCTCAGCTTGTCTGCCTGCCTGCACGCCATCCTGGGGCATGTTGGGTCACCTTGACGGCTGCACCCAGCGAGGAGACCTGTGCCCGGCTTCAGGGCAGAGAGGGAGGTATTATGGGTAATGAGGCGTCGCCATGCAAGCAGAGCAGCTTTTGAATAACCTCATCCACACACACACACAAAAAAAATGCACACAAACATCATTCTAGTTGTGTTTTACAAGGAAATGCACAAAATCTTTTAAAAACTAATTGTGTTGAGCAATTTTTAGACAAAGAAGGAATTGATTGAGCATCATGATTAGTGTTCAAAACGCAGGAGTGCTCAGGTACAGATTGTTCCATTAAAGTGAGGAAAAACAAGACTTTGACTAAATTTGGACATACTTTGGTTCGTAACTTTTTTAAGTCATTTATCTTATTTTTGCGTGAATGCTGATTCAGCAGACATTTTTCACTTATTTTTTTAGTTTTTGCAATTCTACTTTTGCATTTTGTGCTATTTTCTTCTTTTACATATTATTGTGTTCAGTTCATTCAGGAAATTGTTCATGTAAAGTTAAATTTTTTTTGTAACTTTCATTTATTTAAAGTTTTAACTTAATTTACAAAACATTCCCCTTAGAAATACGAGATCTCATCAGTTCCTTCAAAATCATTTCTTTTTATGCTACTTTTGTTTTGGCTAGCATTTTCTTTTAAATTTCAGCTAAACTTAAGCTAACATTACTTTTAGCTAGTTTGTTTATATTGACTCATCAATTTGCTACATTTAGCTCACCTTTGTTACATATATCTTTTTTAAAAGTATTTTGGTTTTTTTTCTAATGTTTTGCAAAATTAAGCTTTTGACTCTTTTTTTGCTACTTTTGCTAGCAGTGTGCTAATTGCGGCTCTTAGCAAGTGGCTAAATTTTCTGTTTCAATTTCTTCAACAGATTTTAACAAAATCATTTAATTCAACATTTACACTGAATTTTTGCAGAAAATGTAATTTCTCTAAGTGAAATCTTTGYTCCGGACCAAACATCTTGACCGACTGGCTGACAAGTCTTCACTCCTTAGAAAATAGCTTAAAATGACCACTCGTCTGTCTGTGTGTTTAAAGAAAATAGACATTTCAATCAAAGCATGCCTAATTTAGCTGACAGAAATGATGTCTAAATATTTTTCTCTCATAAATAAACTAACATTGTTGAACATTTTTATCTCTGGCCATCCTTACATAAAAACACATACAAGCCCAGGTAATATACATTTTTTTGATTGTTAACACAGATGTTCCAGTCATATAGGCAGAACATATACAGTATATGTTTTTTAATTAGAGGAATAAAGAATGAGACAGAGACAAGCTAGTGTATAAAACAGCGACTTAAAGTTATTGGCCACATAGGAATGCAAATGTGTTTGTTTTTCATTAGTTTGGCAGGAATCATCCTTCATGCAGACTTCTGCCTAGAATCCTTTTCTTTTYGTAACATAATTTGAACTGGCTGAAGGATGAATGTTTCATTCCAAAATCTGAAGCTTTCATATGAATCATAACTGTGTTTTTTTTTATTTCTCTGACAGCATTCTGTCTGTTCACAAGTGTGRAGTGATTACCTTTCACATCCATTTTCATCAGAAAATCTAAAAACATTTCACCTTATTCTTCCACTGTTCTCTCTTCTTGCAATTGGAACCAGCCCTTAATAAATATAAATTGCTAAAACTCTTGGAAAGCCCTCTTACATTCCACAGACATGCACAATGCTAGTATTAGAGCTGTAAAGCTATAGAGCAGAAAAATGGACCACAATAAAACGTTTATTTTCACAGGTTTTGGAAAACGATGTATCATCGCCGGATAAGTGTTCTTGCTAATACCAGCCCATATCGTCCAAAGTTTGCTACAGATGCTGGCAGGTCAGGCCTGAAATAATTATTGGAGCCAGGTCCCACTGGACCGATTTCCAGTAACACTCCTACATAGAAATGGAACCAGAGCTGGYGTTGAGGCTGAGACTGGGGCTCGGAGCTGGCGGTATGCTGTCAGAGGASTGGTGCCAAAAAAAGGCCCAAAAAATTATTACCAGCACTGGGTCCTCGCTGAGGTCCAGCATTCTGCTCCAGCTGGAGGAGTCGAGACTGGCAGTGATGTCACGAGACAGGGTGGCTTGATTGTCCTTTTGCCAAAGTTAGCCACATCCCACCTGGAACTAATAACATAAAATCATTGTCATTAGGATGGAAATAATATTTTTCCCCAAAGTGGCAAAACATAGAAAATCACAGATCTACAGGAAGTCCTAACATTAAAACTTTTTTGTTTTCCTTTGATTGATCGAGTCTTTTCAAAACTAAGACAATTATCAAACTACCGGTAAGCATTTTTACTTTGCTCAGCATCTCCAAATCACCAGGAAGTGGACAAAAAATATGARGAAGAGCTGAACCAAACCACAGCTTCCAAACTAAACCACAGTTTCCTGAAATTTACTGCAGCCATCTTATTAAAGTGAAGATGCCAAAAGTTTGACTTAGTTTGACACAGCCTATTAATCACCTAGATTGGGCTGTTTCAACAGTCCTAACAGTGAAGAAAAATAAAACTTGATGAACACAAAAATGGTTGACAAGATAAATATAACTGCAGTTTGCGTAGTGACTACTTGCATGTCTTCTGTCATCAAATGTATAATTCATTATGCTGGAAGCGCAATGAAATCAACACGCAATCAGTTTTTAGCCATTTCARATTTACAAGGAGCATTGTCATCTTTGTAGTTTGGACCATGCTCTGGGTAGTTTCCCCTCATTCAGGCAGTTTAGAGCCTAAAACCAGTTTTGGTTCAAACATCAGGAAATCATTTCCATGACTTGGCCTCATGGGGWTACATGTCTTTGTGAAGTTATGACAGTGAGAACTACTTATGAACTTATGCCTGCAACTACACACATGTTAWTCCACATTAGCTCACATTATGGTTACTGTTACAAATTGTTGATATTGTTGATAGGACTCAGGAGGTTGATAAATTGCTAAAGATGACCGTTTACTTACAATCCTGAGCTTCTGCAAAAAAACACATGCAACCATTTAAATTGCTGGCACCCCTGCATTACAGATGAAAAACAGCTATATCAAGCACTTAAATATGTTCGGAATTCATTAGTGATTTTGTCATAAATAAGTTCTAAAACATTTTTCAATTAAAAATGTGGGGGTAAAATTCAATAAAACCACTAATTAAGCAAGACAGATAACTGTCAAAGAAAAGAAGGCTGACATGTTGTAAGTAGGCTTGTTTCTTATTCCCATAAATATGTTATCCTTGCTTATGCCAGAGCTGGAAGGCTTCCAGCTCGAGCCATGAGACATCTTTTGAGTGGGCTAGTTAATAATGTTTGCCCCCACTGCATCTATCTGTCTGCATCGTAAAAAATGAAGGAGTAAACTCTTGGGAAGTTTTTTTTTTTTTTTTTTGTAGATTTGAAGAAAACTTGCATTTGGTCATGAAGGAACAAAGTCAAAGAAAGTGAAACAAGTTTATAAAAGGGAAGCAAAGTTTGGAACATTAGGCTGGGGTGGGGACAAATACACAAAACAGCAAAGCTTCTGTTTTATTTTTCCACTCTGTCTTATTGATTTTTTTTTTTTATTAACTGGCTGACACTCCCTCATGGTGTACTGTCCTAAAACTGACCAAGCTTGAAATATGACAAGTTTATTATGTCCTATATTGCCACTGGGTACGATTGAGTTACTAGAGCAACAACTGGTCCTCTCCGGTATGGAACCCCCCAACTCCCCCCCCCCACCCCCATCAAATCTAACCCAGGAGGAACCAGGCGTCTGAAGGAGAAAAAGAGAAACTAAAGCTGCTCAAAGAAAAGAAGCTTTCAGGTTTGCGTTGACTCTGGTGACAGGTAAGAGGTGGAGAGAAGAAGCGAAATGARTGGTTGCTGCTGTTTCAGGGTGGGTGGCTGGGGCAGCAGAGAGAGAGGAAGGGCAGGAGGTGAGGCAGACCTAGCAGCGCCGTCACCATCCCCTGCGTGTTTGGATAAGACCCTGGAACATGTGGGGGAATCAGCATGAGGCATCACACCTGGAGGAAAAGACAACTAAATCCAAGCCCCCCAGTACCGTGGGCCCTGGCTCCAACAAGTCTAGCCAGCATCTGGAATGGATATGTGGGGATGCAGCTGACTTCACAACCCCTTTTCGCGGGCGCTTCTCACTCTGCGTRAGTTTAAAACATGCACTGTGAAAGATCATGGTAAAAATAAAGATAGAGCCGAACGAGGATTTGTGTTTAAAAATAAACACTTCTCTCAAAGTTGTTTTTGCTTTTTGTACGGTTTCCAGTGTGCTTGGCAAAATTAAATTGTTTTGTTGTTGAAATAATACATTTTTTTAGTTAAAAACGCAAGACTTCTCTGACCCCCAATATGTTTTTATTTGACTCATGATGGCTTTAACAAGTGTGCAGCAGCCAACAGTTTTTTTCAGTTTGCCTTATCATCTTTTAACATGGTTTCACTTTGTGTTTAATGTTTAAAAGCATATTGTGAAGTTTGTGTTTTAAAGGGATTTTTTTGTTCTGAATTTAAATGAGTAGCTAATTAGTACACACTGCAAAAAAAAGGCACTGGGGTCAAGCCAGTTCAACATGGCCACCTCACCCAACTGACTGTAGAAACTGAAAACATTGCCATAATTCAGTCAGCCATGGGCACTAACACAGCCCCATARGCTCTCAGAGAGGCTGGCTTTTGAACTTTGCACTGATAACAATCTGTACAGTCTTTTTCCTCATTGGCCCATAGGACACGACATCCATGATTTCCAAAAACCATTTGAAATGGGGACTCATCAGAAAGGTGTTGGTTTTTACCCTTGCCGCTTACTTGGAGAGATTTGTCCAGATTCTCTGAATCTTTTGATGATGTTATGGACTGTTGATGATGAAATCCATAAATTCCTTGCAACTGTACATTGAGAACTGTTCTTAAATTCTTGGACTATTTGTTCATGCAGTTGTTCACAAAGTGGTGAAACTTGCCCCACTCTTGCTTGTGAACGACTGACTCTTTCTGGGATGCTCCCTTTATACCCAGTCATGACACTCACCTGTTTCCAATTAACCTGTTCACCTGTGGGATGCTCCAAGCAGGGTTTTTTTTTTAGCATTCCCTCAACTGTTCCAGTCTTTTGTTGCTCCTGTTCCAGCTTTGTTGGAATGTGTTGCAGGCATCAAATTCAAAAATGAGTGACTGTGAAAATAATAACTTTTATCTGTTTGAACATTAAATATCTTGTCTTTGAAGTGCATTCAATAGAATGTAGGTTGAAAAGGATTTGCAAATCATCGAATTAGGTTTTTATTGATGTTGTACTCAACGCCCCATCTTCATTGAAATTAGGGTCGTAAGATCGTTTTAATTTCGAAGAACTTTTGCAGAAGGTGCACAAATKAGGAAACATCCGCACACACCAGGGAAAACCATGATGCACAAAAATGGTTTTACTCATACTGGTGTCGGTGTGTGTGAGAGGTTTGCGAGAGGCCAGCCAAAAGTGTTGTGACTGGAACAATCCCGGCCACAATGCTTGTTTAGAAAGAAGGGCTCACTCATCCAACTAATCAGCCGCTGTGGGTCCTTTCTAATCCCCGCACACAAAGTCAACGGAGCCAGGTTGAGCTGGCGACAGCCGTGATAAGATACTCCAAACGCAGCCTCTTGATCTGCGAGCTGCGGCCTCTTCTCCCACACCCTCTGTCCCCCTTTGTTTCCTCTATTGTAAATCCCAGCGTGACACAGATTTCAAGTTCAGAAGCTTGGCTGCACGGCTGAATCCTTCCACAAAAGTTGGTCAGCGGAGTTGTTTTTGTTTTAGCCTTCCCACTTTTTCCACGTTCTCACAGCACAACATACAAGTCAAAACTAGCTGAAGAAAGCAGCACGCAGAGGAATGCTTACTTTAATGCTGTATTGTTATAGTTTTGGCTAACCTCGCCACAGCTCCTGGTGTGTGAGTCCACTGATAGAAGTATGTGGTAAAACATTCATTAACATTCCATTCATGACCTCAGCATTWTATCCAGAGTGAAGGAGAGCATATATTTGCCTTCGACATCTCTCGCATGGGAAGACGAAAGTGATTATGTGTGTCAGCGTGTGTGTAAACGAGATAGAGAGGCAGAAAGAGGGAAGGAGAGCTGCAAGGAGCTGGATAAAACACAGCTCACTGATACAACATAATCTATGTGGAACCYTGTCTCAATATCACAATATTTCACACGTTTTTACGTATCGCAAACTTGGCAGTCTCCTCAGATGAGCGGAGTTATTTCTGCCTCGCGTGCTGGATGCTGCAGGACGGAGATACAGTTTGCAGCAGCACAGATGGGAGAGGCTGCGGCTCCGGTGCGGCGGTATCACATGCAAAAATGTTTGGTATGTTTTAACACAGATAAAGTTGACATATTCCAAGGCGTTTCACAGACATTACCCATGAAGGAGCAATCGCCCATCTGGCATCGCAGTCCTTCTGAAATCCTCTCTGTCATGCTCAAAGTGAACAGGAGAGACAAAACACTCTCCGCCTGGATATCGGCTCTTATCGAAGCTCTACCTTGGGCCCTCGGTGGATATCAACAAAACATCYCGCTGTAGGCCTCTCAAAAGATAAATCCTGCACTTTATGTCGTAGCTTAGATTTTTATAAACATCTCTTCATGGTTTGATGCTTTACAGGAGCAGTTTAAACGTTCATCCTCGGGGTARGAGCATGGGATTGGATGGCAGCATAGAGAACAAACTTCTTTGCTCTGAGAGCACATGTACAATTTCCTGGTTAGGATCAAATCGATGAGAGTTACAGTGTGTCCTCTTTCTTCCCACGCTCCACTAAAGGAGGATTAATCTGAGGCCTTTATGGGCGGAATGTCAATGAAGTCACTGCTGTACTGCTTCTGTCCACATGATGGTGCAGAGGGCAAGTCTCCCTCTGGARGACATGAAAGCTGACATTTACCTTTAGGTTGTTCCAAGATGTCACTGATACTGATAGTTAAGGCGAGCAAAGCAAGGAAATATTCCCTTGCACCYTGACATTGTTGTGTTTTTAGTGAGTTTTACCACCTAATGCAGCACAAACTCTGTGTGTGTGTGTCCTTCCTGTTTGGATGCAGTCACACCTGTCATGATMTTA